AGTGTGCTGAAGGACACAGTCCCTCCATGCCAGACCCCACCACCACCACCTACAGGCACGGGGCTCAGGGCTGGGCAGGGCCCAAATGCTTCCTGGATTCACCACTTGAGGACCAAACGTCCTCCCTGTTACCCCACGGCCACAGGAGGAGCCCTAATCAGTCTCTGGCAGATAGTTGAGTCTTTCTCTACCCCTACCCACCTGGTAGGTCACTTTATCTGTACCACAGCATGGTGGTGAGGGGGGGCAAGTGCCCATTCTCAAGCTCAAGGTCCAGCCCAGACCTGAAGCCCAATCCTGGCTCCACTCACTCAGCAGCTGTAAGGTCTCAAAGCAGGTCACTTGACCTCTCCCAGCCTCTTTCCTTACCGGGGATGACACCTGGCTGGTGGGGAGAATGGAACCAGAGAATGTCTCCAAAGGACTGGGCGCATAGTAAGCACTCAAGAAATGTGACTTTTGGCTGGGCGTGGTGGCTCATACCTGTAATTCTAGCTCTCTGGGAGGCCAAAGCGGGAGGATGGCTCAAGGTCAGGAGTTTGAGACCAGCCTGAGCAAGAGCAAGACCCTGTCTCTACTAAAAATAGAAAGAAATTAATTGGCCAACTAAAAATATATGGAAAAAATTAGCCGGCTAAGGCAAGAAGGATCGCTTAAGCCCAGGAATTTGAGGTTGCTGTGAGCTAGGCTGATGCCACGGCACTCTAGCTGGGACAACAGAGACTCTGCCTCAAAAAAAACTAACCAAACATACATACATACATATATATATATATATAAATTAGCCGGGCATGGTGGCACATGCCTGTAGTCCCAGCTACTTGAGAGGCTGAGGCAGGAGGATGGCTTAAGCCCAGGAGTTTGAGGTTGCTGTGAGCTAGGCTGATGCCACGGCACTCATTCTAGCCTGGGCAACACAGTGAGACTCTGTCTCACACACAAAAAAAATGAAATGTGACTTTTCTCCCACCTCTCTATTCCCAATTTTAGATGCTCCCTGACTTCCTTATGGGAAGGGGGTTCAGAGAGCAGATGCACAGAAGGAAGCTGGAGAGGGAGGAATTCCCCCTCCCAACAGGTACCTGAACACTCCCAGCCCACTGAGGACCCCCTGGCCTAGAAGGCCATAGTCACTGCACCCTTCACAGGTCCTTTGTATCATCCCTCAGGGACCTCAAACCTCCTACCACCGCCTTCCTCTTGCCCTCCTGAATCCTAGGCTCAGGCCTGAGCAATGGCGCTCTCCCCCAGTCTGTTGATGGCTCCCATAGGGCAGGGAAATGAATACACTTGAGTCTGCTCTGAAAATGGGTCTGAGCCGGCCCCACACAGCCCATATCCTCCTACCGGACACTGAGGCTGCCTCTGGAGCCAGGTGATGTATGGATCTGCACTGGCTAAGCAGGATGTATCCTCCCCCTCTCAGCGGCTGGGATGGGAAGGCACCTTCCTCTCTGCCTCAGCCCCAGAGCTCCAGGTTCAGAGAGGCTGAGGCCAGAGGTAGGGCTTGGACACATAATCCCTAAGGAGGTCTGACTGCCACCATGAGACACCTAGCCCTTAGTTCAGAGAGGCCCAGAGAGGGAAGGCAAACTTGCTTAGGGCCACCCACAGATGCAGAGGTGGGGTAAGTGGGAACAACAGGAAACTTTGTTAATAAGGGTCTGAGTTCCCTTCTTGACCGGCCTTGGGCAAGTCATTCACAGCCCAGTCTCCTCTGAAGCAGGGATGGTAATGGCATCTAACCCAAGGCAAGGTGAGAATCAAATAAGCTAATTGAATTCTCAATGTCCAGGAAGCCCTCCCCATCGTAGTCAGCACACAGTAGGCACTAAATAAGTCATAGGTTCTTCCAAGACCCCAGAGGTATCCAATCTGCCCAGTTATCTCCCTGGAAGATGGAGACTGATGGCAAAGGCTTCAGAGTTCCAAGGACGGGAGTCTAGGGACCCCAGGAGGCCTTTTCAGACTTGCTGCCATGCTTGCACAAAAGGGGAGGGCTGAAGTTACCCCTGGTTCCTTGCTACTAAGAGTCGGGCCTGCTGGGCTCCTCTCTGCTCTGTAGCCAGTTCATACTGGTGGGAGGAGATAGAGGGTGGGATGAGGGGTGGAGAGTAGGGGCTGCTGGACAGGCGACGGTGAACACGAGTGGTCATCCCCGAGGTCACCTGCACCCCCTACTTCCTGGAAGTGGCCAGCCCTGGTTACTCACTGAGTGATTTGGACAGAAATGTTGAGAGGGCTGGGTGTCCTGAACCAGGTGGTCATTGAGGCACAAGAACTGGGCTAATTGTTGGCTGGGGCTGGATTCTTGCCTCCCAAGTCCTTAAACACTCAGAAACTCTGTGCTGGGATTGTGGACCGTGGGGTGGGGGTGGCTTTCTGGCTGTTGCAATGCTGTGGATTGCTGGGGGTGGGACAGCTGTGGTTACAGCCACCATTCAGCAAGCTGAATTCCCACCTTCCAAGCCAGAGTCAGGCCTTCAAGGGTTTCTCACCCTTGTCCCCTAGTTGACACCTGTGAACTTGGGCCACACACAGGCTGAGGAGGGGCTCCCTCCCACAGGAATGTGCTGGGACAGAGACTCCCTAGTGTCCATAGAGGTATGGAAGTGCTTTTAGGCCACCTACCCTCCTCCCCAGAGATGCTCAGCTGCCACCTGTGGTGGAGGGAGCTGCAGTGGTAACAGTTCGTGTCCACGTGAACAGGTAGGAAGACTGAGGCCCTAAAGGAGCACCTTACCTAGAGTCCAGTGGCACAGGGAGGAAGAATTTCCCCTGGGAAAACCAAACAGGCTCCCGCCCCCTCCCACCCCCCTCCCCACGCCCCGTGGACCTGAGCTGCAGTTTTCTGAGCCCTCAGGAATTCCAGGCTGAGTTCACCGGCTGTCAGACTAGCAGAGCCTGGAGAATGAATTCAAAGCTGGCAAATGCATTTTTCCTCCTCTCCCTCGGTGATGGAAGGAGTGATCTCTCCGGCTCTGAAGGAGTTCAAGCCGAGGTCAGAGGAGCCCTCTGAAGCATGCTCTAAAATGGGGTCTGTGGTCGGGGGCAGTGCTCCGACCTGCTCCCGGGGCTGGCCCCCGGGGGTCTGCGTAGATCACCGCCCACCGGGCGGCTCGCAAGTCTGCGTGGCACGTCCGCGCTCCCATGCGGGCCTCGTCAATCAGGTAGCCGCTCCCGCTAGGCCAGGGCATCTTCGGCCAGCGCCAGGCCTCGGGGGAGACCCCAGCCCCGGCCGCCACCCGGTGCCCCCCTCCCCCGCCCCCGGCAGTGTCATTGTTCTCTGACGTCACTTCACAGCCCCGCCCCTCGCCCCCCACTCATCCTCCCCACCTCCGGCTCCCCGAGCCCACGACCCTGCAGCCTCCGGAGCCCCGGCCGAGCAGGGCTCCCCCCGCGGCCCGGCCGGGGCTGCGCCCCCTTGCGCTCTCCCCAACTTGCCTTTGTTATTCCAGCTCCCTTCCTCGCTTCGCCTCCGACACTGCGGCGGCCTGCAAAACGTGGAGCGCGGAATCGCCGCCACACCTGGAATTCTAAGCGGGCTCCGGGCCGAAGCCTCCCCCGCCTGCCCGGGGAGGGGAGTGCGTGCCTGCGCGCGGGAGCGCGCGCGTGTCCAACGGGGGCTGAGAGGGTGCTGATTATGATTGGGACTGGGGGTGCCGAAAATCAGGAGTTGGGGGCTTTGAGGAAGGCTTTGGGGAAGGGGCGTGTGTTTGTATTTGTACGTGAACGTGAGGATTTAGTGCACAGGGGAACGTTTTATGTTTTGTTTTCTGAGTGTATGTGGGGTTGTGTACAGCGATGTGTGTGTGCAATTGTGTGTATGCTTACGGCGGCCTCGTATGCGGGTATTTGTGAGTGAAAGTGTGAACGCGTAGGGGGCGCTTGTGCGTGGGGCGCGGTGAGCGTGTTTGCAGTGCTGAGGGTGGGAGCGAGTGTGTGTGCCGTTGGTGTAGGAGTTTCCGTGAGAGTAGCAGTGGACGTGAGCCAAAGTGGGCGAGCACTGGGATGCTCTCGGGGGTGGGTCTGCAAGGAGAACCCCGAGAGTAGGCGCACCCAACTGCACCTGGAGAGTGCCGTCGCTCTGCGCCGCTCCGGAGGCAGTGCCTAGCCCGGGGCTGGGGGCTGGCCGCTCTCGTGGCCCCGTGCGGCCCGCGCACACGGCGCCCCGAGTCTCCCCGCGGGGCCTGGGAGAAGCCCCGCGTCTCTGGACCGTACAGAGTGCAGCGGGCCAAGTGTGCGCACCGCACCCCCGCTCCCTCCCTCACCGTCGGGGGTACCGAGCTTTAACCTCTCCCACTGTGGCCCTAAGTGGTGGTGGTATGGTGGTAGGGTCCTCTTCGCGCCCTAGCCACCCGTCCCCGGGCTTTAGGAACAGCCCCAGAGTCTCCTTCAGGGGAAGGCTTTGGAGATCTTGTTAGCAACTCGCTCGCCCCCAATTCTGGTGCCTGACAGCGCCCGAGGCCCCGAGTGCACTCCAGGCGGGGGCGTGCGAGCGCGCGGGGTGGGGGCACTCGGGTGAACCCGGTGATTTTGGTCTCCTTCCCAATGTGTTCCCTTCTTAAGCTCAGCGTGTCTCCGCTTCTCCAAACTTACTGGGGGTGGGGGCGAGCTGGGGGGGCGTCAGGGAGTAGCGAAGGGAGTGGGGAGAAAGAGGGAAGTGAGTGAACCGGCAGCGTATGGGGAGAAGGTGACAAGGAGCTGGTTCCTAGAGGGGAAAAGCTTAGGGAGCGCAGGGACAGTGGAGCGGGGAAGAAAGAGGAAAAGAAGGGAGAGGAAAAGCGAGGGAGAGAGCGAGGGGAGGCGGAAGGAAAGGGAAAGCGAGAGCGCGGCGAGAGCGCAGAGCGCCAGCCAAGCCGAGCCCAGCAGAGCGCTGGCGGCGGCGGCGCTGCGCTCCGCTCCGGCCGTGACTCCGCGCCGGCTTTTGCGGGCGGCCGGCGGCGCGGGGCCCTTTGGAAATAGAATAGCCAATGTAATCTGACACTTCAACTTGCTCGGCTCCGGGCGAGTTGATTCACTTACTCACCCCCTAACGCCGAGTTCCTTTTCACTGTCTGTGGACATTAAAAAAGCGAGCGGCGGCGGCGGGCGCCCGGGAGAGCGAGCGGCCGGGCGACGGGCGGGCGAGCAGCGACCGGGCGGCCGAGCGAGCGAGCGAGCACCGCCGGCGCAGCGCGGTGACCCCAGCCCCAGCCGGCGCGGAGCGGAGACGGAGCCGAGCGATCTCGGCGCCCTCGCCGCGCTCCTCCCGGCCCGAGCCGGCCCTGCCCGGCGGTGGCGGCGGCGCGTCCTCCAGCGGCGGCAGTAGCGCTCGCAGCGCCCGGTAAGTTTGGGGCCAGAACCAGGCGCCCGCTGGCCCCGGGGCTTCCTCCTGCTCCCCGCTGACTCGCGGGGTGCAAGCGTGGGGTGCTGGGGCTTTTCCCTTAAAGGGTCTGCCAGAGCGGGGCGAGTGGCCGGCCGCTCGGGCTGCGCTCCGCTCCCCTTGGCGGCCGGGGGCGGAGGCCCAGGCGGCCGGCGAGCTCCGAGCTGCGCGGAGCCGGCTTGGGCTGCGCGCAGGGGCCGGGGTTCGTCGGGTGTGCGGGGCGTAAGTGCGGCCGTGCGCGCGCGGACCCGGTGCCCGCCTTCTGCCGGCGCGCCTCCAGCCCTCGCTCTGGACACCCGGGGGCCGGGCAGGACCGGGAGTCGGAGGAGGGAGGGAAGGACCGGGGAAGGACCGCCTCGGTCTCCCTCGCCTCCTGTGGGGAGATGCGAAGTTGTGCTCCAGTGTGTGTACGAGAACCGCCGGGGAAGGCGCCGGATTTCGGGGTGGCAGGGGGTGGTGGCGTTAAGTTGTGCACCCGAATTTCCAGGGAAAACACACACTTTTGTAAACGGGAGGTGGGGGAGCGGTTAAGTTGTTTGTGTGGGAGTTGCCCGGGGAAAGGCGGCGCGGTACACGCGAGGAACGCCGAGGCGTGTGGCTGTGTGGGGGCTTCTTGTGGTGCCTCGGGAGCCCGAGGGGCGCTCGGGCCACCGCCTGGACCGGGCTGCCCCGGCCAGGAGGGGAGCCCAGAGGGAAGATGTGCGAGTGTGTGTGTGCGCGCGCGCGCTGCAAATACGAAAGTAATTTCCCCGTGTTCTTTCTTCCTCTCCGTCTCCGGCGGCGGTTGCCCCGGGGGAGTGGGAGGCCAGCCCGGACGGAGGTTGGGAGGCCGGCCCGGGCCGGGGCTGGAGCTGGGGTCGAGGGGGGAGGGTGGCGGGCTTCTTTCACATTCCTGGCGTTGGGGTTAGAGAGAAAACAGTGGGGAGCGCGGCCTCGGCGTCTGGGGCGCCGGCAGCGGGCGCGCGTCGCCCCCTCGCCGGGGACATCTGTCCAGGAAGCCGGCCTGGCGGGGAGAGGGCGCGGTGCGGAGGGCAGGCTCCCTGCCCCGGAGCGGTGGGGGCGCGGGCGAGGGGCGGCCGCCTTCCCGGCCATTGTGCGCCAGCAGATTTTCACGGGAGACTGCCCCGGAGCCGCCGGAGAAGGCCGGGAGCCGGCCTCAGCCCCGGGTTTAAAAGACACTCCAGGAATGTAAACAACCCGGGCGGGAGGGCGGGCGGGAGCGCGCCAGGGCAGCCGGCCCGGGCCCCCACCCCGCCCCGGGGGACTGCCTGTCGGCCGGGCCGCCCTGCCCTACCCCTCTACCTGCCGCAAACTTTTTCGTCCTCTGCCTTTCCTTCGCACCTCGCCCCTCCAGCGAGGCACGGAGCGACCGCCTCTCCGGGCGGGGGCCCACGGCGCCTGGCACCCGCGCCTGACCCGGGAGGCCGGGCCGCCCAGTCCCGGCTTCGGCGCCCGGAGCCCCGGCTGAGCCCCAGAGCCGCCGGCTTCCTGGGCAGGCAGTGCCTGAGTAACTGGGGTTCCGAGCCTGCCCGCCCGCCCGCCTCCCTCCCTTCCTCCCTCCCTCCCGCTGCTCCTTCCCCCGCTCGCTCTCCCCCTTCTCCTCTCCCCTGACTGCTTTTCCAATGCCCTGACATGAGGGAGGAAGATTTAACTTGGCAGCCCAAACAAATGTTCTCTCAGAGGTCCTCCAAGAAGCTGGCGGCTGGGCTGGCGGGGTGAGGGCACTGCTGGGCCAGCCTTTCCCTTCCCTCTGCTCTGCCACGGACGTTCGGAGCCCCCGGGTGGACAGCCCAGGCCTGGGAGAGCAGAGCCCAACCCCAGAGGTTTAAAAGGGCAGTGGGCAGCTGCTATGAGAGGCCCTGCCTGGCCTGGCGCCGCGAGCAGAGCCGCTCCGAGCTGCCTGCTGGTGCCAAGGGTTTTCTGAAGGATTTTCTTGAGCAACAGTTTGTCTCCCTGCTGAAACCTGGGATCCGGGCCTGATGGACCAGAGGGTTAACCAGTGCCCTCTCCTCCTCCCTTGTGGGTGTGAGGACGGGCTGGTTACACAGGGCAGGGCAGGAGGCCAGAGGCTGTTCCCAGAGGTGCCTGGGTTTGCTTATTATTGTGTTTTGAAGGTACAGATAGAGCAGCCAGCGCTGGGGCTGGGGAACCGCTGGGTTCGGATGGTCCCTGGAGTGTGAACGCTGCCTGTGAGCCATCAGGGAAGTTTAGGCTAGAGAGCAAGCCCCTCGCTTTCACTGTCCCGCTGGTTTTTGAGGGGGTCCAGAGTGGGGGCAATTCTGGCCCCTCCCTTGGTGGCTCCTGGCCCTGGTGCAGGGCCGGGTGGGTTTGTGAATACCCCAAGCCTCGTGCTGACCTTTCCTTCTTCAAGTTGAGGATGTTGAAACGCCAGCATCAAACAAAAGACACATTGAAGGCTGTATCTGCCACAGAGCACGTGTGACTTGGGAGCCCAGGGAATGCATTTGGAGGGAGATGGTGTTTTCTTCTGAGTTTTATGATTTCAGTTGGGTTTTGTTTTCCCCAAAAGGACAGAAGCATCTCCTTGTCCCAAATCACGAGGTTATGAAGAGCTGTTTTCACATGTAAATCTCAAAAGTTGAGACTTGTGAGAGTTGGTGGCAGTGACCAGGGGGTGGGGGCAAGCAGGGAGTTTGCAAGAGTTGGCCTGGGCATTTCGGGTATGGCTGGCCGAGAAGAATTAGGAATAAGAAATTGCTGGACTTATGGGAAACTTTGAATAAATAGCCTTGTCTATGCAGAAAAGGGTTGCTGGCTCCTTTGTGTGGACAAAATGTCCCTTTTCTCTCCCAAGAAAAGGGGGGAGGAAGATTCTTGTTCCACTCACAGCCGGGAGCAAAGTGAAGAAAGATCTAGAAACTGAGGGTCTGGCCATAGAACCAGTTTCTCTCCCTCTCTGTCTCACACTCACACACACACACACACACATACACACACTCCTCCCTGGCTTCAATAACACAACATTGTCCCCATCCCTGGCTCCCATAGATATGCGTCCAACACAGGACAGGTGTCCAGGGTTGACCCATTCCAGAAAATTGCAGGGGCAAGGACCCAGCTGAGAAGAGCTGCAAACTTCACTTTTTTTCCTGATTGGGGGAGGGGGGGAGGCAATTAAGGAAGGAAGACACTTTGAGGCCTGCCATGTTCTGAGAGTTTTGTCACGAGAGTACCTGCGTATGAAGCCACGGGCACAGGGGGTCCAATGAGTGTCAGTGACCCTGGCCTCAGGGTAAGACATGCTGTAAGAAATTTGGGCTCCAACAAGTTAATTTCCGGAAGCTTCTGTGGGTACTCGGTCATGGAACCAGGAAGCAGGGCCTGCCAGGTCGTGACTGGGTCCCCTACGTTTTTATTCATAACTTTGCTCCCGAGGGCCCTTGCCCGGCTCCTATCGCTGCCTCATCTTTATGAGGTTCCTGAGATTTTGTGTGGACAACAAAGGCCGGGCTGCCGTAATCACCCCTACACCGCGGCAGCCTGGCCTGGTGGCTGCCCTGACCGCTCAGCGGGACACAGTGCCCTCTGCCTGCGCCCTCTGAGGGGGGCTCTTTGTCCTCAAGAGTCCCTGAGGATGGGAACTCAGCAGTCCGCTTGGGCTCCAGGGGTGAGTCTGAGGTTGGGCTCTACCTTCAGAGAGAACGAAGGCAGGTTGAGAAAACCAATCTCAGGCATAGGCTCCAGGGAGAGTCCAGAAACGCGTCATGGTTATGTGGGTCTTCCCGCTACCCAAGGAGATGGTGGAGAGCAAGAAGGTGTCAGCTTGCTGGCCCCTTTGGGCCAGTAACTTCCTTCCTCTGCTGGGCCTCAGTTTTCTGATCTGTAAAATGGGTACAGTGATAGGAGTCCTCCCATCCCAACTGGCTGCTGGGTGGATGAGGCAGACGTAAGCACAAGAACTCTGAGCATGTGCCCCTGGAAGGCCTGGCAGGCTCTGGGTGCAGAATGAATAGAACACAAAGCGGTTGGATTGGGGGGTGCTAGAAGCATTTTCCAGAAGCTGCTCTCTCATCGAAGTCTACCACCCTGGCAGCTTATTGTCCAGCCGCTTCAGCTTGCATGCCCCTTAGGACAGGGTGCTCGCCACTTCCAGGAAGCCTCAGCCTTTCGTGCATGTCTTCTGGAAATCCACAGCTCCTCACCCTCGTTCTGGGCTTGAGGTGCAGAGGGCTCTCCAGACCACAGACTCGTTATTTTCTGAATGATCATGTGTTCAAGACCAGTGCCCAGGCAGGCCGTACTGACACGGGGAAGGGCCCCCCTCCGAATGGCTGCTTCCAGCCCTTACTGGGAGTGAGCTCTGGGGGTGGGAACGGCCTGCCTGAGGAGCTCCCTGTCACTTGCTTTGCCTTCGCATGCCCGGCCTGCCTCTTGGCGCTTTCTCTCCGTGCAGCTGGGCATGAGAGGGAAGGGGGTGCAAACTGAGGGGTGGGGTCGGTCAGGGGCCCAGCTTTGATGCCACAGGCGTTTACCGAGAGTCCACAGTGCAAAGCCTGTGCCTGTGTGAGACCCAGAGCTGTGTGAGACGGTTCCTGCTCCTTAGGTGCTTACGGGCCAGTAAGGGCAGCAACATCAGTCCAAATAAATAATTAACCACTACCGGCTGGCTGCCTGCCATGGGGCACATGATGACAGCAATAACCGCGGCCCCTCTCCTTTGTGCAGTTGGTGGATTTAGACGTATCCTCCAACTTTGTTTAACCCCAGGAGCAGCAGTGTAAGCTGGTTACTGTTTGGAATTACCCCCATGAACAGGAAAACCAAGGTTCAGAGAGGTCCGACGACTTGTGGCAAGGCCAGGACTCAACGTAAGGCATTGCTGCGCCAATACTCTGTGCTGCCTCCTTCCCAGTCCCCTGAGTGAGAGCCCCAACCAGGCTGGGCAGGGGCGCAGAAGTCCTGTGGATTGCAACAATGGGGACCGGGGGAGCGAGGGTGAG